TTCTTCAAACACCAAATTTCCTGTAGAAATGAACAACATATACCCCAACGTGAACATCTTTGGTTTTATAACTAACTCGATACTCCTAATCAGAGGAGAAAAGGGTCTGCTCTCACAACCTATTTATATAGTTTTTAAACTTTCTAAGAAAAATAAAGCTCACTATAATTAATGCCTAATGGTATAAACACCCCTGCTTTAGTGGTTGCCTAGTAACTGCATACTGCAGACTTGTGGGGTTGCTAAAGAGGCTGAATAAACTGAAATATTCAGATCCATTTTCAATTCAGGTGGATGAGGGGCAGCAGTGGGCCAGATTCCTTTGTTCAAATTGTTTTTCCATAATGATTCTGCACTAAAACATTCTTCTGTACTAAAACTTACTCTTGTAAATGACTTCTGCAGAGAAAAGTCTAAACCAACAAGTAATGGTTTAAATTTTTTTGAAGCATTCAATGGAACTGTACCAACACTGCTTCATTGTTCTATATTAGCCCCAGTTTCTGTTCTTAGCATGACTTCACTAGGGAATAATATTCTTACTGAGACTTTAACCCTTCAACACAATCTGATATTTGGACACCACTATAGCAATTGAACCACCCAATGTGGTTCCCAGCTAGAGGTGCTATTAAAAGGGGCTAGGAGTGATTATAATGATATATTTATCCTGTGCTTGGATTTGCTTCCTACCTACCAGTTTTGATTTCCTAATTATGTCTTGCTTTAGATTAGGTAAAATTAATGTGCATTCCCTTGGCATATATGAACTGCAGTTGGTGGAGGAGGCCTTCCAAAATCATAGGCTGTTGACAGGAGTGGCTAACTAGATTAGGATTAAATTGACTGAGTGAAATCCACAAAGAACCTAAGCATATGTAGATAATGACAAGTTGACTATGAGGGAATGTAGTTAGATCATATGAAAACTCATTTCTGGCAATGTCTTGTTTTCAAAAACATGTGCTAGATACAGGGCACTTAGATTTTGTGAAAATTCCTGATGTCAAGATTTGGGGCTTCCTTGGTTGGTCGCCATGGTGTAGACAGGGATCAGCATGGTCTGGAATATTCAAATTGTATAACTATAGCCTTATGGATATAGTCAGAAATGTTTTGCTACTCAGTAATTTTGTCATTTGGCAATACTCATACATGATAACATATGGTTTGCTATTTGGAGGTAACGTAAATGTTGTTATTTGACTAAAATAAAGAGTTTTCTTATTCCATGGAAGAAACTGTTTTAGGATATGTGTGTATCCCTTTATCTTTTCATTGGAAGGAAGCATCCTGCTGCATCATTATGTATAACTCTCTGGGTTTTTGGTTTAGTGGGTTGGAGGATGTGGCTGATGAGGCCAAGGCTATGGTTTCATCAGAAAACCACTTGGCTCCCCAACCACAGTCTGCGTTCCTGTCCACAGCAATCCATTTCTTAAAAGAGAATCTCAAAAAGTGTGTACGGCTAATCACAAACACCTTTGTCCCAGGGTTCAGAAAATAATCAGTCTCAAACTCTTTTGTCAGTGGATCATTCATGTCCTTATGTTCGAAGGAGAAGACTATAATGAGTAACTTTCTGTTTTGCAGTGTATTCATTCTCTCTCCTTCCATTAGTGGTTTTTATCGACATTACATTGGTTTATAACATTATGTAAGTTTCAGGTCTACATCATTATTAATCAACAGCTATGCATGTACTACCTTATGTTCACCACCGAAATTCTAATGCCGTCCTTGACCATACTATTGACCCCTTTTACTCCATTTAACCACCCCTTTTTTCCTTCCCTTCTGGTAACCACTAATTTGATCTTATAGTCTAAGGTTATTTTTGTTTTATTTTGTTGATTCATATGTTTTATTTCTTTGTGTACTACATATGATTGAGATAATGCCATGTTTGTCTTTTTCTGTCTGACTTAATGAACTAAGCATAATTATTGCAAATAGCAGGGTTTCATCTTTTTTCTTTTATAGCTAAATAGTATTCCTTTGTGTATATATACCACATCTTGTCTAATCCTCGGCCAGCGGGTACTTACGCTGTTTCTAACTCTCAACTGTTGTGCATAATGCTGTGGTAAATGTGGGGGTGCAGACATATCTTCAAATCAGCGGTTGTAATTTTTGGATAAATACCCAGAGATGGGATAACTGGATTCATTCCATTTTAGTGCTAAAAGAAATTTGCTGCTTAAAATTCATCATTCATTTTTGTTAAAGGAATTTCTTTTCTCCAGCTAATACTTCCATCTCTCCTTCCTTATTTCAGAAAATTTCAGTCCAGTCCTGGAATGGATGTCTTTTATTTTTACATTCATTCAGTTGTTTAATGAAGCTTCAAAAGATTTAATTCCTGGAGCCATCAAGTCACTACCCTTTCAGATCTATTTGGTTTGACTCTAATAGAGCCTGTCTTTGTGTAGAGAGTCTTTCAGAAAGAGTTAATTTGCAATCTCAACAGAGGCTAATTCTCAGGAGAGAATCTAAACCAGCAAGTGTCCTCCAGGTGGAGAAGCAGCGCAGGGCTAGGCTGCTGGTGAAGGATTTAACTACTTGTGTGCTGCTTCTGTGCAGCCTGGTGGGACAATCCATTAACTCTCAACAGTGGCTGTTTTAAGATAGAGACAAAATGCTCTTTATTCTCCTGTCTAGCTCCTTGATTTTGGCAGTTTGAAAATGTGCTGTCCTGTGATTTTGTTTAGCTGTTTTTCAAATATATTTTTAAAAAGGTGAGAGGGAAGAAACTTCAGGAATTGCTCCTTTTGAGATGATTCTGCTTTCAATGTATTTAGCCTAATAGAAACTATTTCTTCCCAATGATGAACTTTTTTAAATTGAGACTTAATTTTTTTAATTAGATGCAGTTACTTTTCTGGCTAGTCACTCAATGTAGCATGCAAGGCAGGATCTCTATGATTCCATGCAGTCAGGTGAAGGAGGAGTCCTGGAGCCCTCAGTGGCTTTTTCAGGATTTATTGAGTTTTACCAGGTACTTGGCAGGTAGGGGGGGGGGGGGGCAGGAGGCTGGCAGGCCTCCTAGCCCCCAGAGAATCTTCACTCTTTCTGGACTCTCTGGTGTGCTCCTCCTTCTTTCTCTCTCGCTTGTTCTTCTGGTCCTTCTCTTCCTTTTGCTCTGCTGGCGTCCCTGTGACTCTGCCCTTATAAGCCCAGTCTCTCAGCCCTGGTGTACCCACCTATGCATGCCCACACCCTACTCCAGGTGTCTGCCATCAAGCATGCACTTAATCTTATGGCAGGAGGGTGGAAAAGCCTGATACTTTACTTACCTTACACTCAGCATCAGTATTAAGCATAAGTATCAAGAATTTTCATTGCCTGTAATGTGTGAAAAACACATTTTGGAAAGAACAAGGAATGCTTTTGGTTGTAACCTTACATCTTTTATTGTTATAAGTTCAGCATCTATGTTTACTGTCAAATGCTTTTCTTTCATCTTATAAGAAATATAATTATTCTGATATTGAACAATTTCAAAGAGAATATTTGAGAAATGAAAGCAATGTAATAAGCAGGGATGGAAACCATAGATCTAAGACAGGGAGTAGCTATCAGAGTAAAGGTAAAGAAAATAAGTAAATGAGCACCTCCCTTTACAGGATTAACCTGGAGGTGATTGCTAGATCTGTGACCCTTAACCTCAGGGTTTCAGGTGAAAGTTTTTTCTTGAGATAAACCTCTTCTGAGAGGGAACTTTTTACAATTTATTGATCAATCTGTTTCAAAGTCTTTGCAGAAAAGATTTTCTCTGCCCTGGTTTATGTCATATTTACATCCCATTTGGAAGTGAAGCAATTACGTTGCCAAAACCTTTCATTAAGCATCCGCCATTTTTTAAAATGAGCTTTGATCTGTAACCCTGGGACTAAACATTCCAGTCATTCATCTTCCAGAATTTCAAGTCCAGGATTTGGTTGTGGTTTGATTTTTACTTCTTTGAGACACAGCTTGAATGCCTCCATTTGATTTTGTGCTTTCAACACATTTTAGGGATCTGGTGATTTGGAAAGGCCTGTACCATATGGTCTTGATAAGGTGATAGATTTTCACATTCTGGGAATTGGCAGGAAAGGGTAGAAACTGAATCAGATGTGGGAAGGGAAAAATGAAGAGTGGGTCTAACTCACTCATTTCAAGAACTATCTTCTGGGACTATAATTCCCATAAAATCAATTTTTAGAAGTTGTGTGTGTGTGTGTGTGGTGTGTTCCAGCCACAGGGGGATAATTCTTTTTTAAATTCTCTTAAAAGTAGAGCTTTTCCTTTTAAAAGCAATGGTACTTATACTACTTAACATTTCTTAGTTAGCCTTCAAAAATATCTCAGACTTGGAGCCAAAGGACAAAAAGTGTCCACTGCCCCTTTCTCGGAAAAGAGATTGTCTCGAAGGGTCTGGGCTGAGTGGCCAGCTGCAGCTTAATAAAGCGTAGCAGGACACATTTTGATGTGGGATCTGACGGTTTGGGGAGAAAGATGAGAGGCAACGATAGACTAAAATAAAGCCAGACATATACAGCAGAAGGGTGAAGTCCCAGCAGCAGTCTTGCAAAACAAACAAAATGAAGAGTGTCTTCTGTGCTTCCTAACGGTGGGATAGACGGGGCTGAAGCGGTGGGATGGATGGAGCTGAAGATGGGGCTTGATGTTACAGAGATCCAGGAGGTCCAGAAGACCAGCCTTTGCATCCGGTGGTCGGTGCACGCCGGGCTGCTGGGGCCGTGCGCGGCGAATCGCTCTTGGTCGCTTTTTTAACTTCACTCGGGGGCTTCGATGCTCCGCTCTGCGGCCGCAGCCCAACCCCGGCCTTGAGCCCATTTCTCGCACCCGGACGAGCGGGGCGATTGCTGGGCTCGGGGCGGGGGCGGGCCCGGCGGAGGCGGCGGGCGGCGCCCCGGCGCGCAGCGGGTTAAGGCGCGGGGGCGGCGGGAGGCGGAGGGAGCGCGGGGCGGCCCGGAGCGAGCGCCCGCGTCCCCGGCCCGCCGCGGGTTAAGCGCCGCCCGCGCCCAGAAGGCTGCGCCCCGAGCCGAGCTCGCATTCGGATCCGCTAGAGCAGGAAGATGGCGACAGACGGCGCGAGCTGCGAGCCCGACTTCTCCCGCGCCCCGGAGGACGCGGCGGGGGCCACGGCGGAGCCGGCGGTAACCGAGACCCCGGGGTGGGCGCGGGGAGCGTGGCGAGGCGGCCGGGGGTCCTGGCTGGAACCGGTTCCCGCCGCCCGGCCGCTCCGCAGTCCCGGGCTCCTCGAGGTGCTCCCTGCTCGGGGTGCCCCCGCCGGCGGAGGCCGGGTCCCGGGGTCGAGCCGGCCCCCCCAGAGTGGGAAGCCCGCCTGTGCTTTCCGAGACCCGCGAGAAGCGCCTCGGGTGCAGCCGGATCTCGAGGTTCCTCTCGCGTTCTGTGCGACCCCTGCACGCACTGACCCTTGCGGTGGGGTTTACCCGGGGCCAGCACTGGGGTGGTGTGTTTCTGGCAAACTTGACACCCCCCCCCCATTGTTCGCCTCTCGCAGCGCTCGTGGTTGCGGGCGCGCGTCTTGGGGGTACCTGGCACCTCTCAGGGGACCCAGGAAAGAAGCAGTGGGGAGGCGGGTCATCGCCGAGCAGGTGTGGGGATGCCCATTGTGTGCGCCCTGTGCCTCCGGGCCCTGGGGAGCGGCTCGGAGCCCAGCTGTGGGCGCTCTGCCGCCGAGTGCCGGCGTTTGGGGGTTCTTATCTGCCTGCTGCCCAGTCTCTTGGTGGTGGTGTGCTGTCCTCGTTCTTTGCAAGATGCAGGGGCGATGGGGTTGGGGGGCGGGGGGATTCAACACTTGCTATCAACACCTTGTTCTCCATCTCCGGGGTCTGGAAGCCCAATGAGCTTCCATCCATCGCTGGTCTCCACTTTCACCCCCTGAATATCCCGGGGCGCGAAGACTCACCTATGCTCTCCAGCCCCTACCTTGGGGGAGGTCTAGCCCCACATTTCCTGGGTGGAAACGTTTACAGGGTTTGGGTAGCAGCTTCGCTGGAGCTGCAAGGATCTGCAAAGAAAGGCAGCTCTAGGAGCGCCCCCCACCCCTGGCGCGATCCTGCTGCTCCCTCCGAATTTCTTGCTGGGATGGAGAAAGCAGAGCGAAGACGCCTCGGGTCCTCTCTTGACCTGAGCCGAGTTTGTGCAGAGGAGCCACGAACCGGGCCAGGTGTGATGGTCAGAGCTGCTTAACGTCCTCCCGGTGGAGGTAGAGCTTCTGGGGCCGGAGAGGAGAGATGTGGAGGAGGCTGCTTCAGTGTGAGGAGCTGAGCAGGAGAAGGAAAAGAGAGGGAGACAAGGGAAAACAGAGGCGCAGGGCTGCCGGTTTCCATGTGTGAAACTGGCAACTTTTGATTTGACACTTGTCAAGAAAACTGACAGTTCTGTGCATGCGAAATGCGAACAATATCAGGTGGAACCTGCCGATTTGTGGCGGCGGTGAAGCCCCGCTCCTTGGGGCTCCAGGAAGAAGCGAGCTGTTAAGACCACAGCCTCTCTGTGAAGTTGGAATGATAGGGTACCTTCATTTCCACGAAATGGAAATGGGGGTGAAGAAGCGGGGAGGGGAAGTGGGAAGGAGAAGATTGGGGGAAATAGAAGCTGGGAAGAGAGAGAAAATGAGTGTAGTTTTCTAGGAAGGTTGAATTTGTTGAATTCTACTTGGCATGGGCTTCTTTCTCCTACTCTCAGTATTTTCAATCACCTGACAAACAAATAACCGACATCTGATTAAGGTCTGGGGTGGATCTGTAGTTTTATTTACTTAGATCGTTAACAAGGTCAGTTTTCCCTTTTTGTTGACAATTTTCAGGCGTCTGGTTTTAACTGCAGATAGGTGGCTGTGGTCTTTTCACCCTGGTTGACGTGAGCAGTCATGGAAAATCTGTGAAAGTGAAACTCCTTTGTTATGGCCATAGAACCCTTTGGGGCTCCAAGGAGTTGCAGCAGGGATTTTTAATCTAATGGTGTACTTAAAAAAAAAAAAGTCTAAATAAATTTTTGGTCATAGCCTCTTACGCAGTAAACTGGGCATTTTATTTTACTTTTCACTTAATCTATAGGCTGATTTTTTAAAAGAAAAGTTAGGTTGTGGACTTAGATTTGTCCTGCTTATTTGTCTTTCCTTATTATAAATAAGTTTGCTTATTTAATAATTAAAAAAATTAAAGGCATTTTAATGCATTTTGGGCTCATGGCAACTGAGAACTTTTTATTTATTTTTTTTTTTGTATTTTAAGAGATTTACTTTATTCCAAATTAGTTTACATACTGTGCATTTTTATATATACATCTGGCAGTAGTGAGCTAATAAAGGCTCCAAAAGCAGTAGGCTATTTTTGAAAGTGAGTGTTTTCACTAAGTTTTGACTATTTAGATTGTTGCTTAGAAACAAGTTTAATTTATAGTTTTTCAGCTTAATATGATTTTCGTGGAGTGTTTTAAATTTAGTTTGTGATCTTTGTTCTTAGCTGTTTAAATCCTGAAAGCATCCCAAGTGTAAAGCTGGGTAACAGCTACATTATACAATAGCATCATATTAATAGTCTTGCTGTGAACCATGCTGGGTATCTGGGTTATTTTCAGCGTTTCAGCCAAATGTGATGACTTTTATAGGCTACATTGCTATTTTTAACTCTAAAAATAACTCCTAACGGATAAAAGAGTATGGAAAACAGAAATCTTCCTGCTTTTTATCCTCATCAAAGAACTTAAGAGTGAAGGAAAATGGAGATCTTTTTAGAGCTTTATTTGGGAAGCAGACCAACATTCTTGTTGTTCTGGTCTTTTCTGAATCAATTCATATATAAAAAGTCAATATAAAATTTGTTGTCATGGTGAAATTTGCAAGAAAAACTTGGACAATGGTTTTGTAAAAACAAATGGACAATGGTTATTTTAAATAAGTTAACAGCTAGTACCTTGAAATTTTGTCCCCAGGTGACAGTATTGAATGTAAATGGATTGTAAACATTCTTAGCTAATTTGGCAAAGCTTTAAAAAAAATGAACTTACAGTTACATGGCAGCTGTAGACTATGGAAAGTTTCACAGCATAATTTTAAAGTAGCAAATAATCTACCTTTAACACACATGACAGGGCACTTTCCAAGATGGAGGCATCATGAGTAACTTCTTTGCTGCCCCAAAGCAACACATTTCAATGGTAGAAACTGACATACACCGAGGAGTCTATGCAGTGACAGTGGTTTCATGTATTAGGAATCTGGAAGGAATTCCTAGTGGAAGAATCTGGAAATATGCCACAGCAGCATGGCAATGAAGCTGGACCTTGAGCTACGAGAAGGACTTGGATGGGAGATTGTAGGAAGCTGTGTGCAAGTGTTACTGCTTCCTGGGATTCCTTGAGGTGATCTGGGGGTTTTCAAAGATGAACGTAGAGGTTTCAGACACAGTCTCAACCATGTGCTTCTCAAGCTTAGAGCTTGAGAAAAGAGATTAAAATGGACCCCAATGATTAGAATATAACTGCTTTCAGTGTGTTGCTTTTTCTTAACAAGTACAAGGTTGTACATTTCTGTTTGTACCTGTTTTTCAGACTTTATTATTGTTATCTTTACTTTTATAATTCTCATGGGAGTGATTTTGTCTGAGAAACACTTGTCCTCTCTGAGATTGAATCCATGCCTCAGCTAGATTGTCAGTTGGTTCTATACTCTTGTATTTCAAATAACTTTATGAGGTGAGAAAATGTTTCCAACTTAGCACTTAGCCATTTACGAATGTCTGCTCATATGGACAGTCAGGTTTTGCTGGGAGACAATCCTTCAAAAAGAGCCGTGTGGGTTTTATTTGTAAAGAAAAGGCTTCTTAGCATAGTACTAGGCACATACGTATTTCACCAATATTTATTAAATGAGAACACTCATAGAAGCTGTATCATTATACTTTTTAGAAAACATTTTTGATTTCTTACATCGTTGGTGCCTTGTGGACAGCACTTACTTTCTCCCCAGGTGTAATCCTGTAGTTCTACCACCAAAGCATCTGTGATCCATCTCCCACATCCCTTGTGCTCTTCGCTTCCCTTCCCTGCTGCGTGCCTCAGGTCTATGGTCAGTTTGTAAGTTTTGGCTTTTTCCTAATGCTTGGTTCCGTTTCTCTATATTCCACATATAAGTGAAACCATTGGCATTTATCTTTTTTCCTTCTGACTTATTTCGCTTATCATAATCCCTTCTGGCTCCTTCCAGGTTGCCACAAATGGCAGGAGTTTATCTTTTTGATGTCTGAGTAGTATTCCATTCTCTGTGTGTCTGAGTGTCTATACACACACACATCTTGATTCAGTCATCTGTTTTGGTGCTTTTAGATTGTTTCCATGTCCTAATCTATTGTAAACAGTGCTGCAAAAAACATAGGAGTGCAGATTTCCTTTCAAATTAGAATTTTTGTGTCCTTTGGGTAGGTTCCTAGGAGTGAAATCGCTGGATCATATGGTATATCCATTTTTAATGTTTTGAGGAACGTCCACACCGGCTTTCCATAGTGTCTTGACCAATTTGTATCATGATACATAATGTTTCTTGGCTACTTGCGAAACTGAGTGTTACCATATTGTAGTGAAGCTAATGACCTATGATTAGTAAAAATAGATATGGTAGATGTTATAGATCTTTTCTTAATTCAGAAAGATTATCCTGAATTACTTTTTAATTTTAATTTATATGTTCATTTTCATCATTTTATTTCATTTTTGTGTTTATATTTCATTTACATAATGATATTATTTTTGTATTTTATACAATTCATTTTCACATTTGATTTTTCATTTTCACTTTATATACGTGTTATCTCTATATTCATTTTATGTATATTTGACCTCATTTTACATACTTCATTTCCAACCTGCTTTCTCAATGACATTTCAGATACTTTACAAGTGCAAATTTAAAATCAAATGTTTAATTTATAACACTATTAGTTTTCCCTTTAGATTTTCTCTCTTCAAAACAGTGATTGGGACTGAGGATGTATTAGTGGGATGGTAAATGCAACTCTTCATCCTGGATTCTTCCAATGACAGTCAAGGCCATATCACCCACTAGGATGGGGAGGGGATAGTTGAGAGTAGTCAAGAGAGAAATGCAAGGAAGTTTAGAAACTGGAAAGGG